TGCTGGATACAGTATCCTTGGTTCAAGGCCCTTCTGTTTCATTGCATTAAATATATCATGCCATTCTCTTCTGGCCTGTAAGGTTTCTGTTGAGAAGTCTGATGATAGCCTGATGGGTTTTCCTTTGTAGGTGACCTTTTTTCTCTCTGGCTGCCTTTAATACTCTGTCCTTGTCCTTGATCTTTGACATTTTAATTATTATGTGTCTTGGTGTTGTCCTTCTTGGGTCTCTTCTGTTGAAAGTTCTGTGTGCTTCTGTGGTCTGAGCAACTATTTCCTCCCCCAGTTTGGGGAAGGTCTCAGCAATTATTTCTTCAAAGACACTTTCTATCCCTTTTTTTCTCTTTTCTTCTTCTGGTTCCCGTATAATGTGGATATTGTTCCTGTTGGATTTGTCACACAGTTCTCTTAATATTGTTTCATTTCTGGAGATCCTTTTATTTCTCTCTGTATCAGCTTCTATGCCTTCCTCTTCTCTGATTTCTAGTCCACTGATATACTCTTGCATCCCATCCATTCTGCTTTTAAGTCCTTCCAGAGATTGTTTTATTTCTGTAGTCTCTGTCTGTACTTGCTCCTTTAGCTCTTCCACATTTCTCTGAGATCCATCAGCATGTTTATGATTTTTATTTTGAATTCTTTTTCAGGGAGACTGGTTTGGTCTGTCTCTGCAGATCCTCTCTTAGGGGTTGTCTGGACTATTTTGGACTGGACTAAATGTTTTTGCCTTTTCATGGTGATAGCGGTGGCTGTAGGTGGGTTGCGGGTGTGTCAGCTGGGAGAAGAAAGTCCTTTCCTGCTTGCTGGATGCCTTGCCCTACTCCGCTGCCTGTGTCAGTTACCTGCACTCCTGGAGCAGCCACCGGGTTAATCCCCTAAGCTGCTGTGGGCCGGGTCTCCATCAGAGCAGCGCAGATCCCTGTGGGTAGTAGCAGGCATGCGAGGTGCTCTCCTCCACGATAGCGGTGCCCCTGCCAGGCAGCTGTGTGCCAGCAGCGGCCTTTCAGTCTGCCCCGGGTGGCTGTGCATTGGTCTGGGATTCCATTTGGCTTCTGGGAGCACAGCTGCTCCCTCTGGCACCTCTGCAGGTGCGCACGGACCTCTCCTGTGCCCCTCTGGCGCTGCTGCTGACAAGCGTGGTCCGCTCCCAGGCCGCTCAGTCACCACTGCTGCAGTCTCGCACTGGCCTCTTCCCGGGCCCCTCTCGTGCTGCCGTCACTGGTGCACACAGGCCGCTCCTGGGCTGCTCAGTCACTGCCACCACGGGCTCACGTGGTCCTCTCTGGGCTCCTCTGGTGCTGCTGCCACTGGCGCACACAGGCCGATCCCAGGTTGCTTGGTCACTGCTGCGTTGGGCTCACACAGGCCGCTCCTGGTCCCCTCTGGGGCCTCCAGCACACGCGGGCCTCTCCCAGTTCCCTCTGGCGCTGCCGCCCTTGGCGCGCTCTGCCACTCTCCTACTACTGGGCCGGTGTGTCAGGGTCTGCGCCAGTTGAGGAAACAACTGGCAGGCTGCTTAGTGCCGTGAGGGGCTTCAGAGCTGCACTGCCGCCCAGGGGGTTAGGGAGCCTTAAATTCCCCAGGATTCCCAGCTGCTGACTAAGTGTGCCGGGACGACTTCGTCCAGCTGTGGGGTCCCTGTCTCTTTAAGACTTGCAAAAAGTACTCTCTTTTATTTTGTCTCAGGGGTGCCAGTTGCAGGGACCTGCCCGCAGGTTTTGCTTTTCCTTTTTTCTAATATCCAGCACCCCATGCACCTTGTGTCTGTGCTCTGGGTGCGGATTTCTAGAGCTGGTTGTTCAGCAGTCCTGGGGCTTTCACTCCCTCCCCATTCCAACTCCTTTCTTCCCCCCAGTTCTGGGGTGGGGGGCATTTGGATCCTACCTGGCCGTGGCTTGTATCTTACCCCCTTTGTGTGACGTTGAGTTCTCGCAGATGTAGACGTATCCTGGCTGTTGTACTGTATCCACTGGTGTCTCTTTTAGGAATAGTATTTATTATATTTTCATAAATATATATGTTTTTGAGAGGAGATTTCCACTGAACTACTCATGCCGCCATCTTGGCTTCACCCCACCCCCACCCCCACCCACTGGTCATTTTTATCCAGTGGATAAGTTCCAAATATCCTGGACTCTCTCACATGGAATTTATTTAACCCATGAGATTGGAACCTGCTTTTTTACATGCCAAAGCATTTGGGCATTCCATTCAATTCTGTCCCCCCAAAATAGGTTAGCTTAGGGCAGTTCTGACAATTGCTGGGGAGGGAGTGGGGTTAGGCAAGGCTCATCCCAGCTGGAGCAGGTTTGGATAAATTATGACCATTTTCTCATAACCAGGGCATTTGAGGGATTCAACAGGACTTCCCATTGAAAGAATAAATGTGTTCATAAGTCAGTGAAAGAATGTAGTGAAAAAGAAGAGTGAAAATGAGGATTGCGGAGGAAGAAAAGAAGGGAAGGATATATATTTGTTCAAGTAAATGCAAGGAGGGCTGCTAGTGTACTTGGAGCCATGGGAGCCCCGTCTTAACATGTTTACTTATACTTGGAGGGGTGATCCCCACTTCTCTGCTTTGCTGATTTCTTATTCCTTTTCCACTCCCCTCCCCCTTCTAATTTTAAGCTAATTTACTCTTCTCTGGGCTCTGCTCTGCAGCCTGCAGCCTGCAGTCCTCACAATCGGGTGTTGTCGCACCCAGATGCGTTGGACCATGAGTGCTCACAGCTCTGCTGGCCACTGCACCGGCTGCTGGCCAAGCGAGGACAGAGGGGCTTTCTCTGGGGGCTGCTTTCATATGCCCAGCACCAGTGCCCTGGCTCTTCTCAGGCTTATTAATGCTTTTTCCTTCCTGACTTACAAATACACGAGTGTTTGATCATTTCTTGCTTTGAATGTTCTTTTTGTGCTGACAGAGAAAGAGATGACTTAATGTCTGCACTACTTTCCGTAAAGGGCAGCTTGCCAGATGTGCAGCAGAGAGAAGCACGTGCTTATGAGCAGGTGAAGCAAGCGGTGCATATGACTGAGGAAGCCAATTTTGAAAAAACCAAGGTAAGTCTAACAAGATTAAAATACAGGCATGCCGTGATTGCCCTGTTTTCGTTGCTGAGTATTTCTTTGCTTATTCTTGTATAACTACACTCTTTTTTTCCAAACATCTGAAGTGAATGCCAATCTATTAATGTTGACTTTTCTATGAAACAGATTTACTATGTGGGAAATTCTTATTCCTCTGCAAATTTGCTTGTTACATCACTGTTCAGGGACTAGAGTACAATGTGGTAAAGTACTTTAAGAGACTCCTTTGCTTAATCTTTTTATTTGCTAATCATTTTTATGCTGTGAAAATCATAATACTCATAGTCCGCCATCTGTATGGGTTCTTGTATGACTAAGACTAAGGCTTTTCCTCTATACCTGGGAAATTTTGAGGACATCCAAATGCCACATCCAATGAGACATGTGTGTTTAGTAGAATCCTCAGCTATTACTGTGACTCCTTGTATGCTAAGTCAAACACATTAATAATGATAATGACAGTAATAGTTAACAGCAATCAGGCGGTGTTCTGAAGACATGGAATAATAGGAGGTTACTACTGATTCATTGCTATTTGGGGGCCACAGCATCCTCCATTAAAGCCTGTTATGTATTTTCCCTAGAAACACCAGCCACACTTCAAGGGCATGATAGGCACCTGCAGCGAGTGCCTACTGTTTGGGGCAGTGCAGATAAAGAACGTTTCCAACATCACAGAAAGCTCTTCTGGATAGCATTGGTCTAAATTATATAGTAATATCAGCATTTATTAATATATTAGACTATTCAACTGTGTATTAAGCTGCTTCTCAGTCATTGCCTTATCCATTTGCCTCTGGCCAGTGCATCTCTAAATCTCCCAGACTATTTGATTCTCACTGTTCACGTTGCTAATGCCTCTGCACCTGCTGAAACTCATGTTCATCCAAACTCCCTAGCACACTTTAATGTTTCCTCAGACACTTCTGTTTCATCATTTGTGCTGAATTTAGCTGTCCCTTGATGATATCATGACCTTCGAAACCTCCAGTGAAGGTCTTTTGCCACCCATTTCCTCTCATCTGGCCATGGCGGAGGAATCAGCTTTTCCTTCACTCCTCCCTGCCATTCCCAGGACTGTTTTGGCATCTACTTTCAGTTACCATTCCTCTCTGCAGTTAGGTTACCACTCCTCTTTGAAATGATTGTTGTCTCTTCTCTCCCATATTGTAATCAATATAAACTCTCAATCTATAAGTTACTAATTATACTTTTTTTAAAAAAGTAAAATCATCCATTTTATTACTTGGGTTTATAAAATACTTACAGGATCTTCAACACTTTTAAGATCTTTCATATCTGATCCTTTTTCCCCCTTGTCTTTATCCATTCAGGCTGCTGTGAGAAAAGTACCATAGGCTGGGTGGCTTGAAAGACATTTATTTCTCACAGTTCTGGAGGCTGGAAGTCCAAGATCAAGGCACCAGCAGATTGTGTGTCTGCTGAGAGCCTGCTCTCTGGTTCAGAGGTGGCTCTCTTCTTTCTGTTCTCACATGGAGGAAGGTACAGGGAAGCTCATGGAGCCTCTTTTATAAGGGCATAATCCCATCCATGAGACTCCACTCTATGACCTAAGCACCCCCAGAGGCCTCACCTCCAAACGCCATCACATTGGAGGTCTTTCAAGCTATGAACTTGGTGGCCACAGACAGTCTGTGGCACCCTGCACCTTATCTCCATTCACCTTTCTAAAAGATTTCTACATTCACGTTAAATGTAACACCTCAGCCCAACACACATTGGCCTCCTTAAAGCTAGCATTTTCCTGTATTCAGCTGTAACTGCACATGAATTGAAGTGTCTGTGAGATTCCTGACTCTGAAACCACTCTCTCTGACCAGGGCAGTTTTAGGTCTTTCCCCTTATTACAGGTAAATCTACTCAGTGTTCCCATGCCTACCTCTAGCCTCCTCTCCTGTCTCATTTATCTGTTGTCTCCGGGCTGGTCTTCTCTTTCCATTTAAATACGGATTTTACAGTCCCAGACTGAACTCATTGTATTCATTCCCCTGAACTTGTATGTTCTCTGCTTGTTGGATGGCACCTTTGTGCACTACCGTGCCCTGCCTGGGAGGCTAAATGTTGTCCTCTGCTTCATTTAGAAAAGCAACATTAACAGATTGGTATTTATGATATCCCCTTGACATCTGAAACTCTCTACAACCAAATTATTCTCTCTACCTTCCTCTGTACTCCTTTTTCTTCTGCCATTTTCAGGTAATGACATCATCATCTTACCAACAGCCCTGGTTTGCATCCTTTAAGATATCTTGGCTCATCCCCATCCCTCACCCTGGACATCCAGTCAGTTGCCCACCTCATTCTCTCTTTATAGCCCCTTGCTGAGCTGTGCCTGCCCTACCACCCCTTCCATTCCCATGCCCCTGCCCTGGTTCGTCTTCATGTCCTCTTCTGAAACCTGTGCAGATCGCAGAAGCCTTCTGGTTGTCTCCTTCAGATCTCTTCCAGTTCCAGCCCCTTCCAGTATCTCTCACATTGTGGCCAAAGTCTACTTGAATTGTAAATCTCCCTGTTCAGGTAGCTCCCCTCTTGTAGTAGAATAAAAGACCAAGTCCTTAGTGTGACCTTCCAGATCTTTCACATTATGGCCCCACTCTAACTTTTCCAACTGTATCTTCCACTACATTCCTTTCATGTAACCTGTGCTGTTTACTGAATGTAACCTACAATTGACAGTTTCCGTGAATTGGGAAAGCATGCTGTAGGCTTTTCTGCACTGTACCCTTTTGTGAAATATGTCTTCAGCCTAGGAGGCTCAACTTAGGTGGCAGTCTATACCCAAACATTTCCCTAGCCCCTTATTGTTTGAATTACTCTCTTCCTCCTTTATATTCCTTTTCAGCTGTGTATATTTGTGCTATTTACAGAGCTCTCTCCACTAAAACACCCTAAAAGACAAGACAGGTCTATGACATCTTATTATTGTATTCCTCACATTGCCACTTATGATTCATTGCATGATAAATGTTTGTTAAATTGAAACCAATTATTAGCTTTAAATATTAATAGGAATTTTGTAATTAGTGCATTTAAAAATTTAACAGTTAAGAACTAGAGAGATGATTATGTATTGTAAATCTATTGCATTTTTCACTCAATTAGTAATAAAACAGTGACTGATTTTTAAGCAGTGTACAAAATGCAGTGCAGTTCTAGTATGTACATTAAAACACATTTGGAATTTTGCTTTCTGAAAGTAAAAAGTGAAACAGCATTATGTTTTAATTTTAAAGCCACTTTATATATTCCTGACATGTGAAAAGGTTACTTTGTTCTTACAGTTCCTTGACATTTGTTGCCATCTAGTGTTCCATTTTGCATACTGCATGCTAAGCAAATAGGAATTAAATATTTACATTTATAGTGGCAGTGAAAACATATGAGGATTTCATAAGAAAGTATATCTATAACGTGAGAAAATTTTAATGCCATGCATAGACTGAGTCATACAACTGCCTTGGATCCAGTCCCTCTACAGCCGCTTTCTGGATCTGGGATCTTGGGCAAGTTTCTTAATGTCTCAAAGCCTCAGACTTTTCAGCTGAGTGATAAGAACCACTTAAAACTTAGTGAAGGAGGAAGAGCCAAGATGGCGGTGTGAGCAAGACAGTGGAAATATCCTCTCAAAAACATATATATTTTTGAAAAGACAACAAATACAACTATTCCTAAAAGAGAGACCAGAAGATACAATACAACAGCCAGGCTACATCTACACCTGCAAGAACCCAGCGCCTCACGAAGGGGGTAAGATACAAGCCACGGCCCAGCGGGACCTGAGTGCGCCCTCCACCCCAGCTCCCCAGTGGGAGGAGAGGAGTCCGAGTGGGGAGGGAGAGGGAGCCGAGGACTGCTAAATACCCAGCCCTAGTCATCCACACTGGGAGCGCAGACACACAGTGCATGGTGTGCTGGATACAAGGGAAACGGAACAGTAAAACCTGCGAGCAGGTCCCCACAGCCAGAGCCCCTGGGACAAAAGAAAAGCGAGTGCTTTTTGAAAGTCTTAAATGGACAGGGGCCTCACAGCTGGATGGAAGCATCCTGGCACACTCAGCCCAGCAACTGGGGGTCCCAGAAAACTCCAGGCGCCCTAACCCTCTGGGCAGCAGGGCAGCTTGGAGGCCCCTCACGGTGATAAACAGCCTCCCACCTGTTCTCCCACTGGTGCAGCCCTGCCATAGCAGAGCAACAGCCTGAAAGTGGCCACACCCACAGCAACCACGCAGAGCTTACTCCACAGTGGCCTGGGCAAGAATCAAAGACCCCGTCTGCATGCAACTGCCCAGCTCAACATGCTAGGGGTCACTGTTTTCCCAGGAAAAGAAGGCCAGGAGCAAGTGGAAAGGGACTTGTTTCTCCCAGCTGACACATGCACCAACTGCCTACGACTACCTCTATCAACATGAAAAGGCAGAAGAATTTGATACAGATCAGACTAACCCAGACATCCTCCCCTGAGAGAGAATCTGGGAAGATAGATTTAACAAATCTACCTGAAAAAGAATTCAACATAAAGGTCATAACCATGCTGATGGACTTGCAGAGAAATATGCAAGAGCTAAGGAGAGAGAATACAGAAATAATACAATCTCAGGAAGGACTTAAAAGCAGAATGGACGAGATCCAAGAGGCCAATGATGGAATAGAAATCAGAGAACAGGAACGCAGAGAAGCTGACGCAGAGAGAGATAAAAGGATCTCCAGGAATGAAAGAATATTAAGAGAACTGTGTGACCAATAGAAACAGAACAATATCCATATCGTAGGGGTACCATAAGAAGAAGAGAGAGAGAAAGGGATAGAAAGTCTCTTTGAAGAAATAATTGCTGGAAACTTCCCCAAACTGGGGGAGGAAATAGCCTCTCAGAACACAGAAGCAAACAGAACTCCTAACACAAGGGACCCAAGGAGGACAACACCAACACACATAATAATTAAAATGGCAAAGA